TGTAGCCAAAAGAATTTCATAAGCTTACCGCAATATCTTATATAGAAGTCTGAATAATTCGTAATCTAAACCGACTCAGCAGGTTCAGCCATTATCTCAACCTGTACTACTGAACAAACTGTCCATGTCTGTGGGTCGCTGTGCCACGAGAATTCCCTGATCCACAGTGCTCTTGCTACACGTATTGTTGCTGCTGCAAACTAATACTATCACTGTTGCAAGTATTTTTCTGATTGCTGCTAGTGCTACAGTGCATGTGTCAGTCTTGCGCGTTTAGCTCGGCCTGCCGGCCATTCGCCACCAAAGATCTGGGACAAATCGACACCTCGAGCCAGACCAGGGCGTAGGACTGACGACTCCAAGGTCCACAGCTCATGATGCTCAGGGTAAGGCGAACAAGCTCATCGGTTCTCTCCAGACACCATCCAGAGCCCTCAAAACCGCCAAACGACAAGGGGAAGGTAAGACGCTTTAGGCTTCGGGGTGTGGGAGTTTTAGGAGCCAAGCTCTCCTCAGACCGACTCACCCTCGCGAGAAAAGTGTAGCAGAAAGAATATGATTCATAAGCATATCACTGGTGAGGAGTGACAGGGAGCATGAGTAGAATAATGGTGATAAGACTACCCCGTACGACACCAAGTAGGCAAGACAATGAAGAAAAGCCGGTGACCTGCAGATGGTGCCATGGCGTCGGAACGGGTTCAAGGTTCGACGGGGTTTGGGTCGTACGGTCGAAGGGGTTTCCTCGATGCTGGACCCTTGAGAGGGTAAGTATGACATTGACATGAATTGCAGATTTAGGGCTGCATGCATCAGGCTTTCAGGTTAAGGGCCTTTTGTCCTACTGGGAGTAGAGTTTGAGGGATTCTGAGAGTCACAAGGTTCATGGCTGGAGGCTCAAGGTGTTCCATCTCATCTGGAAGCTTCTTCGCTTCCTTGGGCCCTCCACTTTGGCTGCAGCAGCGATCGGGTGCGAGAGTTCAGGGCTCCCAAGTGACCCCGAGGCCAGATCCGCGAATGTGCGCAACGGGCGTTCAAGCAGTCCTAGTATGCTCCTAGAGTCCTGCTTATCGGGTTTCGGCTGTCTGTTTGGGGGCTCTACATCCAGGAATGGAGACCTCGTGAAGCACTCTTGTGAGTCACACAGGCCAAAAGAATGCATTCTCAAGACCTTGTGCCGAGCGAGATTTATGCCAAAGCTGTCTACTGAAATCGGAAACCATAGGATACTGGCCCCGACCCAAACACTTTCTGAAACCAGAACATCGTGCAAAACAGCGCAGACCAACCAAAAACAGACACACACACACACACACACGTACGCACGTACGCACACGTACGCACACGTACGCACACGTACGCACACGTACGCACACGTACGCACACGTACGCACACGTACACACACACACACACACACACACACGCACCCGCACACACACACACACACATTCTGTACCCTGAAGCCCACCCAAATGCTCGGGCACGAGCAGGCTCATCACAGCGTGCTCGCTCACGAAGGTCTGCGAGCTCGGCCTCTGGCTCAGGGTAGAGCTCTCGTTGCAGGCGTGGACGTTGCCACTGCACACCACCACGGCCGCCACCTCCGCCAAAGCCCACCACCCCCAACCCCACCCACACCAGCCACCCCCACCACCCACCCAACCACCCGCCACCGCGAGCACCAGCAACCACGTTTAGATGGTACCTCCTTAAGGGAATCTCTCACGACACGACCGTTTCAATCAAACCTGAAGTTCCCGACGCCCCCGCCATCAACGCCTGTGTTCAAAACCTCCATCCTCCTAACACGGGATCCATTCCTGAAAACTCCCTACACTGGGGGAGGGGCGCTCTGAATCATGGTCCCTTCTTGGCTCCCCAGAAGCATACAGCACTTCCCTGAACTCTGAATAATAAAACCTTTACACATCCTTCGAAGTCTCTTATGAAACCCCAAACTGTAAATCCCAATGCCTTGTCCTCAACAACACACCTCTAAAGCCTTTCGAACCAATCTCCGCCCGAACGACGCCGCGCCTCCAGCCGTCGCCTGCCAGCCTCTTGCATCGCTTTTTGGGGGCGTGGCGTGGGTGTAGGGCCTAGGAGTACGGCTTTAAGTGGTTGTGGTCCGGGGCTTTGGGGCTGCAGCGCTTCAGGTCTGCATCAGGTTCGCCGTCTGTACCTGGGGCTTCAAGGATCCAGCTCTTCGTCCTCTCGGAAATGGAGTATAGGGTCTCAGCCCTGCTCTGCCGGTGTTGCGGCCTCAAAGGATTTAGAGTCTTGGATGGTGGGTAGGCTCTCCAGGGCTTGGGCGACTGCGGATGACGCGACACCAGGAGCTGGAACTTCCAAGTTGGCGGCTTGGATCTTGATCAGAGGCCTCTGCCCCCGGACACACTCCAAGACGAACTTTATCCAAACCGTAACACCTGGAAGAAAAACGGTGAAGGTGGCCTCGGCTGCTTGCTGCGCCGCCAACGCCCTGACGGCGTCCTGCGTTGCCGCCGCAGCCTCCGGGGTTTACGGCTCGAGGTCCGGTCGGGGCCTGTTGAAAGGCTCACAACAAGGCGCTCGTTGGTTTTGGACCTGATGAGAGCTTGGGTGATAGAACCCTTTAGAGTTTTACAGTACCACTGAGCCCATGGCGTTTCATCCTTCGTTGTTGAGGCTGCTACACTAGGCGGATCAGGCAGTTGTACCAAACAACTAGAACAACTCAAACATAGTCTTGATATGCAAAGCTTACAGGTTGACTGTTGGCGCGCATAGGGGCTCTTCAGCCACATCATCATTAACTTCTTGGGTCTACTCTGCGGTTTGAAGATAGGATCCCGAAGGAAGGGTTTCGAGGTTTGCTAGTTATTGCGGCTCCGAACTCACAGACCGACACGACTCACCTTGAACCCAACTTGATGCCAAACATCTTTAAGTCCCTGTTATCAGCCCCATTCTACGTAATTATGCGTTATGAAATCTTAACATCCCAGAAAGGCATAGGGCGACCTCGGCCTCTGCTCGCGCCACGGCCGCGGCCGCGTCTGAGGCCTGCCGCCGGAGTCGGAAGGGGTTTTGGAAACCAAAAGGCCCGTTGAGGGCTTCGGGTGTTTAGGGTTTGAGAAGGTAGGGCTTGATGGAGTGTTTAGGGTTCTGGATATGGGGCTTAGGACGATTCAGGTTTGCATAGCTGGGGGAAACCAAAAGTTCTTCAATAAGGAAAATGCCCCGTACGTGCTCTGAGGATCCTACTGCGGGCCGATTCGGCCTCTCGAATGCCCTCAGTTCCGGAGACAAAGTGCTACCAAAACCAAAACCATCCATCTCAGTGCACAGCAAGACTCCGGAAGTCCGGACAACCCAGCAAAAGTTTCAAAAAAAACCAGCACGCTCTGTTCATCAACAACATCTCAATCCCACCTGTCATACAACCCAGAAAGTTGACAATTGAGTCATCACAGAAGAACAGAAACACAACAAAAGCTTCTCCTGACTGATGCCCTCCGGAAGCGGCTGGCCTGCGCCTCGGCCCTACGCGCGGCCTCCTGGGACCTGATCCAGGTGTCCTCCTGGCAAAGGGGAGATGATGAAGTATTATTCATTGTCATAAGCATAATACAAGCAGTAATACGGTAGTACTATTGCTACTAGTATGAGTATTGCTACTATCAATATTGTCAGTATCAGTATAACCAGTAAAATCAGCATTCTCGGTATTACCAGCATTATCAATACTATCAACATTGTCAATACTATCAGTATTATCAAAATTATCAACACTACCAATGTTCTCAACATTGGTAATATTATCAGTATTATCAGTATTGTCAATATTAGCAAGATTATCGATACTGATATTACCCCTGTTCGTGTTGTCAATATTCTCGATACTATCAATATTAGTGAAATCAATATTGTCAAAAGTATCAATGTTACAATGTGCCGGGAATCTGGAACCACTACGGGGTGCAACCTGACCAGTCATCTTGTTCATCTTGCCCCACTTGAGGGGGTGCAACCTGACCGGTCATGTTGGTGTAGAGAGTAAACTAGTCGGGCAAGTCATGGCCATTGCAATTCATCTGCCGAGTCGAGGAGGCGCGTGATGCCAAGCGGGAGGGAATAGCTTAAAGATGAAGCGATACCGAGGCAAGGCAGCACCTTCATGCCAGCGACCGATGTAAGTTTGCCAAGCACCACCAGATGGCGGTGTATCTCAGCCACGAGAGGGGCGTCAGCAGGCTACCCGACTGGAGCAAGGCCAGCGTAAGTGAAGCAAGGCGGCTGGGCTTTCGGCATGCCTCTGCGGAGAGAACCAGGGTTCCGGGGCCTCAGCTAGCAGCTAGCAGAGGAGACTCCCATGAAAGGTGAATCGAGCCGATTCAACGAGTGCGCCCCTGGCTGTGATGCCGAGAATCGCGGTCACGAGTCTGAAGCTCGTCCGAAACGAGGTGGCGAAGAACCCCCTATTTTGGCAGAAAGCTCCTCGAGAGGAGACGCAGGAGGCTGAGCAACTGCACCAACAAGGGCTGCCTGAAGAACATTTGTTTCATTCATGGGCTCCCGAACCAAGCCCCAAGACGGTCGATCACGCTAGCGCCAGGCTTCACAAAGGTCATAATGCCAACCAAGACCAACACGACTAAAGCAGCAACAAAGCGTGGAAAGTCCTGCAGGATGCACTTTGGCCGTGCCACGGGACCACTATTGAAAGGATGGCGTTGGAGCTTACGCACCAGATGCCGAACACGAGGAACGGCAACAATCCGCCCCGAGATACACAAAGTCCGATACGAAAAGCGAAGGCAGGGCCAATGCTAGGTGCGGCAAGGACGGGAACAACCACGCCCGTGGAAGCGAGCCAGTGCCCTTCTGCCGAAGACGTGTCAGGGCAACGGTGCGAAGAGAGCACAAAGACTCTTTGGACCAGTAGCTAGGATGTGCTCCATGCCCTTAAAAGGCTTGGGTGATGATGGCCTGCAAGAGAATTCAACGGCGCTGCCACGAAACAGGAAGTGAGCGAATGCCAGCAAGCGCTACGGTACCGCATTTAGCCGAAATTCAGCCTGTGGAGCCTGATCAAGCTCTGAGGACTCAAGGTCGGCCTGGGAAGCGACACCGTTGCCGCCAGCCAAACACAAGTCAAGAGAGTACGACCCCAGGCCGGACAACAAGCCATCAACGAACGAGCCACCAAAAAGTGGGATTTGCGTGGACAACTGGCCGGTGCAACCAGTATATCTCTCAGAAAGCCCTCCAATCCTTAACCAACAAGACCCTGGCAATCCCCTACAAACGCCACCCAAATGCCATGGTCCAGCCTCCTCCAAGACGTAGCGCTCTGAGGCCTGGGAGCAGAACTCCGACGTTTTGGAGAATTAAGGGCTTCATCGATGAAGGCTTTGGAAGGGTTTTTGAATAGTGCAAAACCTCGCCTTGGGGCTTTAGTCTTTCTCATGGTGGAGGGTTCTCGAGTTGAAGACGCCGACTTCTATTACAATCATACCTTAAACTCTCTTCAAGCCCTGCAGCAGCCTCCTTCGCGCGCTGGAGCGCAGCCAAGCGGAGTTGAAGCTGCTGCAGCTCCTCAGGTCGTGGGCTTTCGTTTTGAAACTCAGGATGTCGAGGAGGTTTTGGGGGTAAAGGACTGCATGAATACGACTCCCCGAACCGACCATACACCCGTAGCCTGATGGCATCCCGAAGAAGGCTTGGTGTCGAAAGAACCTGCGGCCTGGTGCTTCAAGGCTTTCGGTATTGGGCATGCCCTCGCTCGTCAGTGTGTGATCAAGACCCAAGACTCCAAGCTCAGAGCTTACAAGCTAGCAGCTAGGCTAAAAAGCCCCTCAGCCTCGAACGGATTCACTGAATTCTGCCTCCCCAAATGAGAACGTAGCTGAAAGCAAGAGCGGATTTCAATGTGTGTAGAGAAAGAGATTTCAATCGGGAGAAGCCCGAACGAGCCCCAAACCCTGCATCCTAAAGTCCGAACCCTGCTAGACCCCACATTCCCTAAACACGTAAAGTCCAAGCTCCACCTTGCACCAGCCCTGAAGCACCAACTCTGATGAACACTATCTTATAAATAATACTTTGTAACCCCTAAAGCCCAACCCCATACCCTAGGCCCTAGGCCGTCCACTCTCATCTGCCCCGGACGAAATGATGCCTCTACCAAAACTTCGCCTCCTGTCGTCTACAGTCCAGTGGTTGGGGGTTTAGGGTTTGGGTCTTAGGATTTGGGATCTGGGGGTGCAGGGTTTGCAACATGCTTGAATTGCAGTCTGAGTAACTGGCAAGGACCACTGCTCCTGTACAGTCCCTGTACAGCTTGTGGTCTACAGCCCCAAATGCTATGACAAAACTACAGACCTGCCCTAATCTAGGGCCTTGAAGCCCTGAGGATGAACACGTAAGAGCCGTTCTTCTGAGTCTTCTGGGCTATTGCTGACACCCCTGCAATCTAAAACATCAAACACACCCAATCCTCAGGCCCCAAAGACAACATCCTAAAATCCCCCAAGCCCTGGCCCTAACCACCATGAAACCCTTAACCGACTCCCGCTGCCCAAACCAAAAATGCAAAAACCCCTCCTCTTCGTATTGCTCGGACTCGACAGCCCTCGCCTTCGGCTTGGGCTCAGGGTGTTTTAATACAAAAGGGATTTTGCTGACGGGGTTCTTCAAAAAAATTCTATGGACTTCATCCGGGGTCTCTAGAGTTTTGTACAAGAGTGCTGTAGGCGTCTTGCAGGTTTCAGGGTTTTAGGCTGCAGAGGCTGTAGGTGCACAGATTTGGGGCCGTCTACAGCGTCAGAGCGACCTGTCGAAACACTTTACAAACTTGAGGCCAATGGGTCATAGTTTGAACGCCAAAATGGAACGTGGCCTGAGTGGATGAATGTCCCCAGCATCCCTGGCTGTGCGGATGGAAGTAAACCGAGATGAAAGAAAAGCCTTCCTCGGAGATTCTCTTTCAGATCTCATCCGAGTGGAACGATTGCAAGTCAGATCCTCATCGCCAACCAAGCATTCGCACAAACACGCAACCCATCCTGCCAAGCAAGCCGTGCCATACCAAGCACGTCCTCACCTACTTTGCAGCAGCATAGCATGTCCGCATCTCTGGCTGGCTCAGCCGAAAATCACCCCAGTTGAAGGACAAACCTTCGTCGGAGATTCTCTTTCAGATCTCATCCGAGTGGAACGATTGCAAGTCAGATCCTCATCGCCAGGTATTTGCGCACGAGCTCACTCACACACACACACACACACACACACACACACACGTACGTACACTGCACAAAAACACACACACACACACACACACACACACACACACACACACACACGCGCACACCCCATCACCAACACCCAACAAGCGAATCCACCCCCAAGACACGAGAGTCAGCCTTGTCGCAACCCTACAACTCGAACGCGTTAAACCTTCGACTCCAAATCCTTAACCCATTCAACACCCCTGGACCCGAAACCTATTTAGGAAGAAGACCGGGCCTCCGCCTCAGCCTGCAGCTCCTGGCGAAGCGTCCGCTGTGCCGTCTCCGCGTGGCGCACCTAGAGGTCGCCGCCACTCACAGAGTTTAGGGCTCCACCGTCGGGAAGCTTGTTTCTGCGGTATGGGGTTGGGGCTCAACGCCGAAACTCTACATCCTGAACCAAACTTTGTTGACTTCAGGTTTCTGACTTTGAAAACTCGGGGGGGAGGTGTTCCTACCACTGCAAAGCTAGCTTCCAGGAGGCTCACTGGGAAACTCGAGGTCACTTGGACCTGGGCTTCAGGGTCTGGGTTTAGGTTTATACGGCTTAGGATGGCGTGGGTTCTAAAGTCAACTTCTTCTGACTGCCTGCACGGTCGCAATATGAACTCGTTATGGCAGGTTGGCGTGCATCATCATGTGTCACAGGCAGCCTCCATTCGAATCGACAATGTTAGACTGCCGATTCAGCATGATTTACACTGTCGAGGATTCGAAGGATGTCTAGTCAACTGCGCCGAAAACCCTCGCTAATGACTTCGGTCTTCAAGCCCTAAACATGAAAACCCCGGAACCGGGGTGCCCTGCCCGGCTGCGTGCTTCTGTGCGCATCGTGGGAAACGATGGTGCTGGCCTGCTCGAGTCTATCCGGGGGACCCCTGAAGTTCCAGTTTGCTTTGTGTTCGGGGCGTTAGGGTTTTAGGGTTTAGGGCTTAGGGTAGGAGCTGTGAGTTTCCGGGCTTGGGTACTGTGCACACGATGCGTAGGGTCTGGAGCTGCGGGTCGGATCATACTTTTGACCCTGACAGTGCGCCCCTCTTACATTACCGTCACGCCTAAAGCATTCAGCATGGCAGATGCCAGACTAACATTATCCAGAAAGAACTGCAGCCCCGACAACAGCCATTAAAAAAACCTATGAACACTTATAGGCAATAGGCTGTGAAGAGCGAAGAGCGGTAGGACGAGAGCAGTAGGTCGGGCGGAGAGACGCAGAAGGAGAGACGTGGGTCTCGGCACAACCGGCTACCAATGAGAAGACCGAAACTGCAAAAGTCACATTTAGGCCCAACATCCGCCCAACCGTAAACCCGCAAGCCCGCTCCGAACCCAGGAATGCCACGCAAAACCTCCCCAAAAGCAACCCAAAACGTCTCTGAGGCCCTGGCTTGGTCTCGGGCTCGGCTTGCGGCGTCTCTTTTGCCTCACAGAGGTGGCATGGAAGAGGGCTACTGTACGAGAGCTTCAGGCATTGGAGCCTTGCGTATCTACGGAGTTAGAGTCAAAACTTTGAAGGCTTAAAGCCCTAAGGAGGCGTAGAGCAGCAGGGATTTCGAGATGGAGGGTCGGGCCTCAATCGTTGGGTTCAGTGGTCTTTTGGTGCTTGGGGCTGAGCGTTTCGGGGGCAGTGTGCAGGGCATGTCCTCAGAAGCTCTAATTACTCAAGATGTGTAAAGGATCCAAAGCCTCACAGTCCTCATGCCACAAACTCACGAAAATCTACTGCGGCGTGGAAAGCCACCCAGCCACCCCGACCTCCCCGCATCCCAAATAGAGGTGTTCAAACAGCTGGATCCAATGATCACCTACAGCAATAATCCCCAAGGTGTTTAAAGCAATATAGCCCCAAAATCCTAGGTCTGAATTCTGAGGCCTGCGTCAACATACCCCGAAAGCCCTTTTGCATTTTATGAACTGCCCCAGAAACTCTGACTCTCCCCCTTCACGCCTCGGCCTCCACAGGGGCACTCCGTGGTTGCCGGCCTCAGACTCAGAGAGTACTCGTACTAGGATGTAGGGTGTAATTAAGGCCTTAGGGTTTTGCCTTGGAGCTAGGAAGTCATGATTAGTGGCACGAATGCAAACGCCAATACTCAACACCTGTGCTCGCAGGGCTTGGCTGGTGAAGAAAGGCTTCCACCCGACAGAAGCTAATCTCTGGCTAGCTGTCGCAGTTGACCGTCGAAAACAGACACGACCCAAGCCCTGATATTCTCAACATCAAGCCGTCAAACGCACCTGAATCAAACAAGCCGTTGTGGTTGTGTGCAGTATATTACCACGCTGCAATACAAGAGCACATTGTAGCTGAATACTTTAACATACCATGTTGATGCTACGCGTCTAGATTCATGTGCCAAGCCACCCCCTCCCCGCCCACCGACCGACCTCGTAGTCTCGACAGCACATCATCCAGGCGAGCGCGAGCAGTCGCCTGACTCGGTGCATTTTAAAAATTAGCACTGAGGGACTTAGGGTTTAGGGTAGAGCGAATGGAAATCGTGAAACAGTATGCGATTTAGTTGCATGTCTTGCAGTAAACTGGAGTCCATTACAAAAGAAGTACCACAGCATCGTTCTTCGGTGCTCAAAGTTTCCAAAGTTTGCAAGGAGAAGGGTCTGAGATGGTCTGAGCTGTGGGGGCTTGGACTCAGGCGCCAAGCTTCCAACCTTACTGAGCTTCCTAGAGCCTCCAAACCTGAACGCCTCCTCAATCCCCCAAAGCCCCTGAAACCCAAACCGTCCTCAACCGGAAATCCGAAGCTCAGAAACTCGGAGACCCTAAAATGCCTAAAACCCCGTCCAATCCCATGAAGACTTAATGAAGTCCTGAAGTTTTAGGGTTTAGGGTTTAAGGCTTCTTAAGTTTAGGGTTTAGGTTCTAGGGTTTAGGGTTTAGGGTTTAGGGTGAAGCCTTCGTGCTCCCGCCTCGGAAGGAGCTTCTGCGCCGGCGCGAGGCGAAGGCTCCTCGCCCTGCGCTCGCCGTTTGGGGTTTCAGGTTCAGGGCTTAGTTAGGGCTTAGGGGGCCGAGGAAAGGGAAGCTGAAAGGATGTTTTGGGGGCTTCGGGTGCAGGGTTTTGGTGCGTAGAGGCTTACAAGGCGTATAGGCTTCAGGCCAGCCGTCTGGGGATGTTGGGGGGGGGGGGTTGCGTTTCGCGTCACGCCCTCTCCGCTCTATGTTCATCACATACTTTCAGTGGCATGGTTACTAAGCTTCGGCCGTCTATATGCAGTCTTGCTGTGGGTCGTGGTATTTCTGATGGAGGGTTATTTAAACTAAAACTGTTCCATCTGAATTCATTCCCTCCACGGCCTCTCCCAAGGCTTCGGCACAGCGCGTACAGAGCCACCTAAGGACGGGATCCCTCCCACGAATTTGGGCTGTTATTCCATGATGATGGGAGCTTGCTATACAAACAACTTCCAAAAGGGCTTCGGGTTAGAATCCAACCAGCTCATGGACATCACCAACAACGGCAGCAGCGAAAACAAATCTGCGTTGCCATCGTCTATGTCCTCGCATTGTCATCATCGTCATCAGTCCCACCAGAGCTTCAATACCCCGGCGGGCACCATCAACAAACCAGGTGAGAAAACTAGTACTTGAAGCGGATGCGTGCGCGTGCGATTGAAACCCCGTACTTGAGGGAGGACCGGGGGTAGCGCTCCAGCTCCTGATTTCAAGATCCACACGTCTGATCCTCGGGCCCGGAGCCCCAAGCACCGCCACAAAATGCTCGAGCATTTACTGTCACTTGCACTCCCACCCCTCCAAATCCGATCTGCAAGAGCCAGATGCTTTGTATTCCTGCTAAAGTGGCTTCTGTCGGAAGTGGGGGATTCGAAAGTGTTTATTTGTAATTAGGTGAAAGGGCGCAGCGAGTTTCGGGGGCTTGGGGTGAGTAAGAGGGTTCTAGGTTTAAGGGGCCGCCTTTTGGACACCTTAACACAGGTTTATACTGTATACTGTACAGAACGGATTATAGCAAGCCGAACCAGCTCGCTCGCACCGTCGATTTCGAATCTGTCGCAACAAACACAGGTGTTTGCACTCCATGGCTGAAATGAAGTAGTTCTGGCTAGTGGCTCCTCTTGTAGATGACCTCCGAACTGCGAACTGAACAGTGACACAGAGAGAGAGAGAGAGAGAGACACCCTAAACCCTAAACCCCCACAAACACACACCAACAGCCTTACAGTGCTAGTCGAAAAGCTTGCGCTACCGGGCCCCGAGCTGCAGCAGGGCGGTGTATCTCCTCAGCTGGGGACTTGAGAGCTCCGGAGGGACCTAATCAGAACAGGGCCTTGCCTTCCGGGTTGGGGCATCTGATTGCCGCAATTAGATTAGGAACTCAAGGGAACAACATGGTTCTGAAGTATGCCAAAAGTGCATGATACCTTCTCCCACTTTCTGCCTACAACTGCTCCGCTGGCCGTCGAGGCACAGCGTCGCCTCCTCTGCGGCTGCTTTGGCCTCAAAGCGGGATTTGGGGTTAAGGGTTTAGGGCTTGGGGGTTTCAAAGTTTTCGGGTGCAGGGCTTCGCAGTTTCCAGGGGCTAGAGCGTCGAAGGCTATTGAGGGGCACGTTTCACGAAGATGACGACGATAAGGAGAAAGCCATCAAGCCTGACTGCTATATGAGAGAAAGAGACAGAGACAGAGAGCGAGAGAGCGAGAGAGCGAGAGAGAGGCGGAGCTTGACAAGCGGAAGCTGTTCCGAGGTGCACCTCCTGAATCTCCTTGGCCTTCCGCTGGGACTCCGTCCTCCGCTTGGGGCGAACAGGCTTGCTGGAGGGGATACACGGCTGCTGGCCCTTAAGGCATCATCCCAGAGATCGGAAACCCCCACAGAATGCAATAGCGGCTCCACATTAAGGATCCCTTCGGCATTTTCCTCAACTAGTCAAACTAGTCAAACGTCTTCGAGCCTTTCCAGGAATCTGGGATCCAATCCCCTAAACTAAACCTGAAGCGTCATACCTGTGCATGCTCGCCCGACAATCCAACAAGGCTTAAACCAAGTCAAGAACTCCTCCAAAACGAAATCGCAACTACCTTTTGGTCGCTGCAAAATGCCAATGCTGACATAGCCCTGTGCAACCATCAGCAGAAAATCCTTGACGCTGTCAACTGCTGACGCAGGACATCCACCTCGTGTGGCTTCAATGCTGCTGCTGCTGCCACGTGCTGCTTCTGTACGTAATAAAGATTTCGATCCTTCTTGTTGTTGTTTTCCTTCTTCTTCGTCTTCTTCTGCTTCTTCCTCCTCTTGCCGCTATGGCTAAATGCAATTCTTGTGTCTGGTCCTATTTGGTACGATGATCTTGCTATCATTCGTTTTGCTTCTGTGTCTTACCGCGATTTTGGCCCTGTTCCCTGAAGCCCAAGACCTGAACCCTAAAAGCCAACCCTAACGCCAAGTGAAGCTTCGCGAACCTTTAACCCCCAAGTCCTTGGCCTTCGAGTCCTTACATTGGAACCCTCTTCTGATAGGGTTTAGGGTTCTTTATTTTCGGGGCGCCAGGCAGTGACAATTCTCGGGCTGCAGTGGGATCTCGGGGACTTCCATAGAAGACTGCCGAGTTCACTTCACGGTGGCAGTGCCGAAGTCCTAGAGAGAGCTTTCAAGTACGGAAAACATAGTGAAGACCCATGACCCGTGAACTCAAACCCTAAACCTTGCGACCCTAAACCCTACGGTACAGCCCTAAATGCTTAAGTACATTGGGTTTTCTTGGCCTCCCTCTAGACACCTTCGGCTTCATGAAAACCCTTCAGGACGACTTGCACCACTGATAAGAAGAAGACGAAGAAGACTAAGGGGCAGAAAGGCACGAATCGTCATAACCATCGTAAGACTATGCTCCTCGAGCACTTGAAATTCCCTTCAAAGCCGAAAGCCCCGCAAAACCCTTCAAAAATTCCTTGACGGACCCCTGAAAGGCCTGCCTGCGACGTCGCAGCCGCTCTCGCCTCTGACTCCGCCTCTCAGGTTTGCTATTCCGGGCGCTTCGGGTTGTGGAAGCCGGGGTTTCGGTTTGAGGCCTAGGGTTCAGCACTTTTTCGCAGCC